CGCCCCCCCCCCCCCCAACCAAAGGGGAAGCACTGAGCTAGCTGCTGCTTGCTGAAACCAAATAAGGAGAAGACAAACTGCTGGAGCTACCTTCTATTGTAATGCAGATTGGCTGGCAAAAATATAACATAACAGTTAACTAGACGAGTCTCAGTTGACTGACAGGTCTCTCTCTTCACTTATCAGGGTGCAGCCCTACATGAAAGTAATTTTAAATGTCTAACGATCCCTCTCTGCAGTGTGTCCAAGCAACAAGCCATCGTACCTGGTCAGTGCTATGAGTTGGATGACGGCACAAGCAGCTTCAAGGACTTCCACGGCTCCAGGAACAACCGGTTCACGTCACCAGAACAGGCAGCCAAAAACCGCATTCAGCATCCAAGCAACGTGCTGCACTTCTTCAACGCCCAGCCAGATGTCACGCCAGAGGTCTTCTCTCAGGTCTGTAGCGCAGACGAACACAGATGTTTGAAGGTGTGAAGGGTATATGTTGGTGTCACAAGAGAAGCTTGACTCGTTTAAAACTGACATCACTGCCTGCATTGTCTTTATTAAAAAAGAAATAAGGAAAAACATTTTGTTACGCTGGAATATGTATTATGACCAATGAAAGAATTAAATGTGTATAAATACAAGTTTGTGGCAAACTCTGAGAAGAAAACATTTAAATGCTTTTGAACATTCTAATAAATGTTGTGCTCTTTTCAGATTTGTGAGGAAATTGGTGTCAAGTGCCCCGTCAACGTCAAAATGTTCACAGGAAAGAGTAAGCTGCTTTGTTTTTAAGCCACAGAATATACAGTGCAATTAAAGTTAACAAACCATTTGGCTGCTGTTACACCTGGAATCCTTCAGTAGAAACAAAAGCAACAGACCCTTTAACTGCACTTTAACAGCACTAGCAGTCCAGTTTGACTGTTAGTCTTGCAGTTGTCAGAGGTGTGTGTGCTTTAAGTCTGACTGCTGTGTGCCCCTCTGGCCACCAGGTGGTGCAGCTCCCAGTGACCGCAGTGCTTCAGGTCTGCTGGAGTGGGAGTCTATCAATGATGCCATGGAGGCACTGGCCATGATGAACCACTACCAGATGAAAAATGCGGGTAGGTGTAAGACGCACTCACAAGCTTGTGTGAAGTTGTTTCCTGCTGGAGTGTCCACCTCTGAGCACAGATTTAGCCCCACATTTGAAAAGACAATAGGAAATACCTTGGGACATGTAGGTGTGCACTGCTGTGTTTACACCTGAAACTACTAGACCTACACACACAGAAATGGAGAAATCCAGGAAGTCTAGTTTAAAGAAGGGACATGGCGGTTTATTTTGCATTATGACATTAAATGCAGGGCTGTTGTAAGGACTAGTGTTACAAAAACATTTTAAAATGCAACACTTGCAAATATTTTAGCCAGGTTCAAGTGTATGTTTTCTCCCAGAGCCCTCTGCTCTAGCACTGTCACTGCAGCCACCTGATTTCAAATGAGTGTGGTGGCTGGAGGCGAGTTAGACTGACTGGCTCCGGGTGGCGTGTCTATTGTTGCCTGATTTCCTCTGGTCTTCTCTCTTCCAGGTGGTCCCTACCCTTACACCCTCAAGCTGTGCTTCTCCACTGTTCAGCACGCCAACTGAGCGCACTGCTGTAGCCAGGAAGATGATCGGTCCACCATGTGCTTGCATCATGATGGCTTCAGCGCCTGAGAGAAATATTTCTTAAAAATGCACATTGAATACAATGACAAGTTGCTGTTCACAGTGCAGTCGGTCCCTAAAGGGCAACTCCTCCTATTTGGTATATTAAGCAGACTTATCAAATCTTAACTGGCATCTCAAACTTTGATGTTTATCCCCCCAGATGTGATTTGTCACTCTCTGTCTTTGATATTAAGTTGTCTTTTTTTACTTTTGTATTATGCTTCTAAATTAACCACTCATGTGAGAAACACATTTGGAAGAGTTGGTTTTGTGCTCAGGTGGCTGGATGGCAGTGGACAACATGGTTTTGTATAGGAGTTGTCTGTAACTTTTATTATTGCTCAGTTTGTCCTTTTGCTCTTATTTTAATTGCTGCCTCTTCAGTTCTGTGTATCTGTCCCTGACATGAAGCAGGAGACTAGTTTGGTCTAAGAAAATAAAAAAATCAATTTAGTTGAAATTGCTGAGTGTGTTGTAGTCTGTCCTGCCAGTGTTGGTGAATTTTACTTTTCAGACAGATGCAGCTGAATCAGCAGAACAGTTTGGACTCCTTCAGGAAGGAGGATTTACTGCAGGATTAGATTAGATTAGATAGGTGTACCTAGCAAACTAGCACATGAGTGAATTTAAAGTAGTACAGAAGTTCTGCACACAAGCATGACTGTCAGACTGGGAACATGTATAATTAAATATCTAATTATCACTTAAATCTTTATTGCTGTAAAATTGTTAACCTGATAGTCCACAGTGTTGGTGTAGTTTTAAAATGTCTTGACCTCTCCAGGACCTACACTTTGGATCTTAAAGCACTCACAATAATACAACATTTTGAATCTCAACCAGATTATCAACCAGCAGGCCTGTTCTTTTTCTTCTCTTGGAGATAAAAGCGGGGGATAGTCTTTCCAGTGGATTCCTGCAGCGCTGAACATAAATGCAACAAAACCAGAAGAAGCACCAGGCGAGTTGGTTTCATGTTGACTCCCTGAATCTGAAGTAGTGTCTGGGATGCTAACAGTGGAATCCTTATAATTGTTTTCAAACATTACACAGGGGAGAGGGCAGTCACAGTCCCCCACTGTCATAAACTATGCAGATGAAATTCCCACATTTGAGAAGTTCGCAGAAATCAGTCAATCCAATTACAATGGCTAAGGCTGGCTCTGGACAAACCACCTTTATAATCATGATATTGTCTTCGCCAGGTAAATATGACATGTTCCAATCAAAAAAAGGGGGGTCTTTCACAGACGAGCCACACTGACTGATGGTGCTGACGGTCTATAAAGGACCAAGAACAAGGGGCGACAGGGGTCCGTGAAACGGTAGGAGTTCAATACAGAAGAGGCAAAGTTAGTCTAATGACAAAGGTTCTTCACGTTTATTTTGATAAATAATCGTTATGTTACTAACCTTGATATTATGGTAGCACAAAGCCTGCGGGAGCCGTAGACCGTCCCGCGTTCTGATTGGCCTAGAGTTCACAGTTATCGCAGGCTTTGACTGTAGATACCCAATCAAATCGCAGAATTCGAGCGTAGACCAACCAATCACACAGGCCGTAGGCGACAGAGCGGTCAGGTCAATATGGCCGCCGCAGTTTTTGTTAAGAAAACGTTTTCCTTGCAACTTAGAGTTTGAATTGATGCTTTTTCTTTGCAAGTTTGACTGAAAAGCGTTAGCAAGTTAAGAGTTGTGTTGACGTGTTACCTGTAGTTTATTTTTGCATCATCATGCTGTATATACTGAGTTCACATCCAGACATGTGACTAGTTTTCAGTAAACAGTTCTTACTAGAGGCTTCTTCCCCCATTTTTGTAGTTTCTGGTCTCATTTTAATAAGAAAACATTCTCTATAGTCACTCATTGTCATAGTTGTTTTGTTAATGTATGTCAGTATGCTGCAGCTGGCACCCCAGCTTAAAAATGACTTGTATATGTTTGTTCTAACCTGTGGCTAATATAATCAGTTTAGTATTAATCTTTGCAGAGTCTAGAATACTCATTATCACATAAATTGATGTTTGTTATTCCAGCATACTTGACACGCACAGAGCAGAGATTTTTGGGGGCAGTGTTTAAAGTCCTCTGCACAGCCCGTTTGTCCTCAGCTGTGGAGCCTGCATACCACACCCCCAAACACTCCTGGGGTCCATGATGCAAGCTTATGGAAACTAATGCAAGTGGCTGACAGATGGCTGTCTTATGTGCTAACACTTCTCTATGCAATTGTATGTCCCAGAAGATTTTTCTTCTCTTGGCTCCACTTGTTTGGTCTGTAACAATATATGGTATGGCATTAGCCAGGCGATTAGTAATGACCTTACTCATTATCTTATAATCTACACATAACAGTGTGAGAGGGCAGTAATTTGCAAGTAGTTCAGGTCATCCTTTTTGAATAGTGAAGCTATTACACCTTCCTGCATACTCTTATTCATTTTCCCATTTTTATAAATTTCATTCATAACCTGTAGTAGGTGCAGACCACGTTGATCCCAGAATGTCATGTAAAACTCTTTTGTAAGACCATCTTTCCTGGCACCTTCCTATCCTTCATGGATTTGAGAGCCGAGTACAGCTCGTCGACTTTTAGGTCCTTTTGTAACTTATCTCTTATTTTTACAGGGACTTGTTTGTCTTCACCCTCTATAAACATGTCCCCTTTAACACCATCAATGTCTTCTTGTTTAAAAAGTTTGGCAATGTGATAATGGCATCTCTGTTAATTTTTCACTGTCTTCATAAATTATTCCATCCATTCCTTTTAATGCATTATTGTCCTTTTTCTTCACTTGAGTGATGAATGAGAAAAGAAACTGAAAATCATACAGAGTACTCTCCGAAGTAAGAAAATAATGTTTGTTCGATTATCGAACTTCATTACCAAGCTACAGAAGGAGCTCCCCCGCCCACTGGTGGACAACCGCATGACCTGCATGATGGGCTACGATATGAAACTATATGTTTATGTCAAAATCAAATCAAATCAAATCAAATTTTATTTGTGTAGCCAAATCACAACAAAAGTCATCTCAGGACACTTTACCTTGTTTACCTTACTGTTATCAATATTATTACATAGAGAAAACCCAACAAATCCCCCTTGAGCAAGCACTTGGCGACAGTGGGGAGGAAAAACTCCCTTTAACGGAAGAAACCTCCGACAGACCCCGGCTCTTGGTGGGCGGCCTTCTGCCTCGACCGGTTGGGGTGAGTGGATAGAGGAGAGACAAAAGAAGAAAAGC